CTTCCTGAAAGAGTCGAAGACCTCATATTACAGGAATACATGTATGCCCATGTTTGTAGCAGCACAACTCATAATGACTAAATCTTAGAAACAGCTTATAGGAGAAGCTTATCAAAGAAGGCTGGGAAGATAGCTCAGTGGTATAAGAGCCTGGATGGCAAATGCAAGGAGCTGAGTTCAATCCCTGGTACCAAGAGAAAGCAAGCAAGAAAGACAAAGCAAGAAAGAAAGAAAGAGAAAGAGGGCCGGCCAAATAGCTCAGTGGATTATAGCTCCTGCAAGCAGGCACAGGGGCCAGGGGTTCGATCCCTGGGCCTGCTGTGCCAACAACACCCCCGGGACACACTGAGATGGCAATTGAGACTGGGCATGGTGGCAGACACCTGTAATTCCAGCTTTTGGGAGGTTGTAAACAGGAGAATCAGTACAAGTCCAATCTAGTAGTGAGCCCCTGAACACCCTGTAAACCCTTCCCTAAAACACAAAAGAAAAAAAAAAAGAAAGACAAACAGAGACAGACAGACAAACAGATCGAGCAAACAAGAAAGAAAGAAAGAAAGATGAATGAAGGAAGAAAAAGTGGTCTTTATAGATGAGGGAGTACTCCTGCGCTGTAGCAAGGACGCACTGCAATCATCCGTAGGAAGATGAACACGCCTGGAGGCCATAACATTAAGTGAAGTCAGTCAAACACACAGGTAGGAATAACACACAGCTTCTCTTACGTTAGAAGTCCAGTATAAAAGGAAAGTGCAAAAATATGAGACAGACAATAGGAAAAAAGGAGAAAAATGTTATTATAATCTATCATAGGCAATGTATCAAAAAACATGCCTTGATTTAGTATAATTGTCTTGCACACTTTTTTTATTCTTTTTGGCTTGTTGGTCTGGCCATTAATCTATTTTTATGACAATCAATGAGATAAGGGCATATAAGGTAAATAAATGAATGCTGGCCAAAAATGTTTTCTAAAAGAGATGGAAGGGAAGAGGATAAAAAGAATTTAGATGTATTGTATACATGGACCAATGCCCCACAATGAATGTAATGACTATATACTACAAACATGTGCCAATAAAAATAAAAATTTGAAAAAAGACATTTTTGAACAATATATGTAGAACACAGCAGGTTATGAATAAGACAATAAGAGATTAATTGAATAAATTTAAACTTTATAATGAATTAATGCAAGAAATTACTTTAAAAAACTAACAAAATAGATTTAAAAACTTGGAAGATTGCAAGACACTAGATCAATATACAAAAATTAATTGTATTTTTTCCCTAGTGTAAGAACTCAAAAGAAGAAATAAAAATTGAAAGGTATAACACAGTTAAATGGAAAGCGAGAACTTAAGGATTAACTAAGACAGAGAAAGGAGAAAAGTTAGGAAATATGGCAGGGGCAAAACAATACATTTATATAAATAAAATGGTTAAGGCAATGGTCCTAAGAATCTCCATTAGGTGTTTGAAGATAGTAGCTAGTGGGTACAATTCTCACCCTGGCTAACTATATATGTTGATATCTGTGAACTAAGCAACTAAACTGGGGATAGCAATGTGTAATACTAAAACCATGCTTGAAATACCTATCATTTTGGTCTCCTAAATACGTACTGCTTCCAATGTCATATCAATATGCTCTCTTTAAAGTAAATGTCTGAGAAAAGAAAAAAGGTAATAAAATAATACAAGAGACAAGGAAAAAATGTCACAGGATTGTTCTGCTACAATGTTGTATGTGGTTGGATTTCTAAATTTCTGTGTAAAAATGTGTAATTGGTTGGGTTTTTGTTTTACATTCTATAGGGATTTAAAGTTTAGAATACCCATGGTGTTGGAAAATAGCAATCCCATGTTATGTGTAAGGCATTTGATATTCAGACAGATAGGTTAAGCTCAACTACCTATGTTATAGGGTAATAATATCAATAATCTTCTCTTCTGGATGTTTAACAGCTAAAGTTTACACACCAAAAATTAGAGAAAAAGAGGGGCTACAAGGATAGCAAGTATTTTGGCCCTAGCCATTCAAGGTCAGTGAGGACTCAGGACATAAGAGAACCTGTGCTATGACATCTTTTAACTCACTGGTGTCTCAAATTTTCTGATCAAGGAGATTATGGGGCCACAGAGGAAAGTGACTGGTAATGTATAGTGTGCCTAAGGAGAGACACCTAGAGAGAAAAAATTCTCTCAGGCTTCACAAAGAGCAAATTGGTCAAGCAATGGCCGTGACTCATCCAGATGGCTGAGTCAGACAGACAGACAGACAGATCAAGCAAGCAAGCAAGAAAGAAAGAAGAGATAAGAAAAAGGAAGATTTGTACTAATAGGGTTTGGACAGGATATCATGTCTGCATCTTGTACTATGAATAACTACTAAGAAAACAAACAAAACCAACAAAAGATCTACAAGCTGCTCTAAATGGTTTCAGGGTAAACCCTGATGGGATTTGACTGACCTTATCAGATACAAAAGTTATATTTTTACTTATATAAGCCTTGCTTTAACTTAATCTTAACCATCCAGAAGAAAAATATAACCACAACGTATAAAATGTAATGCCGTATTAAAATGCTGAACTATAAAAGGCCCAAGTCCCATGCTCCTGGATAGGAAGAAACAACATTGTGAACATGGCCATACTCCCAAAATTGCTGTACAGATGTAAAGCAATCCCTATCAGACTACCACCAACATACTTCACAGAGGTTGAGAAATCATTCCTAAAATTTATCTGGAACCAGAAAAGACCTAGAATAGCACAGGCAATCCTGACCAATAAAGACAAGGCAGATGGCATTATAATTCCTGATTTTAAATTATACTATAAGGCTACTGTGATAAAATCAGCATGGTACTGGCAAAAAAATAGACCTGAGGATCAGTGGAATAGATTAGAAGATGCTGAAGCCCCTACGAACAGACTCAGCCACCTTATCTTTGACAAAGGGGCCAAACGTACTCACTGGAAGAGAGATAGCCTCTTTAACAAATTGTTCTGGAAAAACTGGCTTTCTACATGCAAAAAATTCAAACTTGACCCAGGTCTATCACCATGCACTAAACTAAAGTCAAAATGGATTAAAGATCTAAATGTTGAGGCAGAGACACTAAATCTCCTGGAAGAGAAAGTAGGAAGAACTCTTGAAGACGTAGGGGTAGGCAAAGACTTCATGAACAGAAATCAAAAGGCATGGGAAACAGGTGAAAGAATTAACAACTGGGACCTGCTCTTACTGAGAAGTTTTTTCACGTCAAAAGAAATTACCAACAAAGTGAAAAGGCAACCCACAAATTTGGAAAAAATCATGACAAATAAGTACTCAGACAAAGGTCTGCTCTCTAGAATCTATAAAGAACTAAAAAACACTAGGGCCCCAAAATTTAAAGACCCAATCCAGAAATGGGCATCCAAGATGAACACACACTTCTCAGAGGATGAAATTAAAGAAGCAAATAAATATATGAAAAACTGTTCCACATCACTAGCCATTCGTGAAATGCAAATTAAAACCACATTGAGATATCATCTCACCCCAGAAAGCATGGCTATCATAAAAAAATCACCCAGCAACAAATGTAGGAGAGGCTGGGGGGAAAACGAACCCTTCTCCACTGCTGGTGGGAATGTAGACTGGTGCAACCATTATGGAAATCAGTATGGAGACTCCTTAGAAAAGTTGGTCTGGAAATCCCCTTTAAACCAGCTATTCCTCTACTGGGAATTTTCCCAGAGGATCTGAAAACATCATATCATAGGGATATATGTGTGCCTATGTTTATAGCAGCACAATTTGTGATAGCCAAATCTTGGAAACAACCAAAATGCCC